TGTTTTTCAGCCTACAGCGATCCTCCATGTGTCCGCCTTTGTCACAGAATTTGCAGTAATATTTCAAAGTGTGTCCGCCTTTGTCACAGAATTTGCAGTAATATTTCAAAGTTCTGCATTCTTCAATTGTGTGACCAGAACGATGGCAATGATCACACGTTTTGTTATTTTTGATCCCGGATGCCTTGCTCTGGATATTCGCGGCAATGGTGAAGCTCTCAGTGGGTTCTGATGACAATTGTCTCTGTGTCTCCTCTTGAATTACCAGGGAATACGCCTGTCGTACGTTGGGTAATGGTGTCATCATGAGGATATTTGACCTTACCCCTTTATATGATTCATTCAGACCCATAAGAAACTGCATCAACCTGTCCTCTGCAATCACACTGTCCTCCCCACCATAGAAAGTTGTTACACTGATGTGGCCTAGGCATGATTAACAAATGTGGGTAGGGACTCTCGAATCAATTTTCCGAGTTCATCCCCATAAAGCTTATAGAGTTTGGTTTAAATAATATGAGGCCACGGACATAGAGCCCTTGTCGAGATTGTTGCAATAGATTCTCTGAATTCTGGACTATTGCCGGTGCAATTCTTTTGGGAAAATTGATCTTTTTGAAGTCTGTCCAAACTTGGTATGCTGTTTTGGCAATGAATGACCACCTCTGCCAGGTCTGGCTTCAACAAGAATGATAGTAAAGCCAAGAAAGTTATTAGGCTGTTGCTTGATTCCACAATGCCGAGTTCCGTTGGTTTTTTCTTCTTGGGGACGGCCGGCTTCTAAGCGACCCACAATCGAATGACACCCATCTTAACTGTTATTCTTCGCCCACCGATAAGAGCGTTGAAATCATAGCCTTAACTACATGATTCCGATAATTTTCTCCACCATATCTATATTTAATACCTGGTTAAAAAAAAAAAACACTGAAAACAGGACCCCCACGCAGCATGTGACAGGTTGATCTGAATGAATGAACGTAATAATGATGGCGGAAGGAATTCCCACTTTATTACCACAGCCTTTGATGAATTCCATGTTTGGGCTTTTGGTTGATTTCGTCGCCGCATCTGTTGACTCAGGAAAAAGGAAAGAAAAGACAGCGAAGCTTTCAAGAGCACCCAGGGAACCAGATATGCTCTGATAACCATCTAAAAATAAAGAAAGGTATGGTTTATCCAGTGGCCTTGGTCGATGAATTTATTAGAAACACCGTGCATAAAATTGAAGTAAGCAGAGTACAAAGAGTATCAATCTCATCTCTATTAATTAAGCACTATCTGCATCCTGTAATTAAGCTTATGTCAATCTCATATTTTAATTACGAAAGGATATACAATGACCAGAAATTGGTAATAGACTAATTACAGATTAACTTGACATTAACTATTTTCCTTAATAAGCATCCTGCCCTCTCCGTACACAAGCAAACGTGGTGTTCCCTCCAGTAAGCTCTGACCTATATTTATCAATCTCATCCTATAATTAAGCTATCTCATCCTGTAATTAAGCTATGTCAATCTCATATTTATAGAAAGGATATACAATGACAGATGGTAAAGATAATTACAATTAACTGATTAATATTTTCCTTAATATCCTCCTCCGTAGAAACTGTGTTCTCACAGTGCTTGACCTTCTTGACAGCTCTTTTCGCCTCTAAGGGTGGTGCGTGTTGGAAAACATGAGATGGCTCAGTCATAGAAAGCGGAACCCTAGCAGAGTGATATTTTCCTGTGAATTTTTCTATTTTAAGGAAAACCACTTATTAGTTAATACGATAGTCATCCATTACATGGGCCCTACTCATCTTTTGGGGCCTCGCCCCTAAATAGTTTTCTTTGAAAAGAGAGGATCAATGTCATGGTTACACTCATCATTTGAGTATAATTCTCCATACATTTCATGCCATGATGGACTTAAGGGATATCCATTCTTAGGACCTTGAGACGAAGATGCCACTTCGAACCCCGACTGTCTAGATTGAGAACTTTTCGACAAGTAGGTTGAGCCTCCTTTTTAAGCACAAGGACATGTGGTTTAGGTCAAGGTGGGGCTAATGAAATATTGGCTAGAGGGGTCTTCCTTTAGCCTACTCATTAAGTCTATAGAGTTCTTCTCCTAAGGCTACCCTTTACCTTCATGTAGTCAGAGTTTTTTATCTTGGTTTTCCACTCATCAGCTTCGTCCCTTAGTAACACATCTTAAGCACATGGATAAGATATATGGCCCATGAAGAATATACACATTGGTGTTTTATAACCCCTAGAATTAGAGCGAAGATTTTCTCTTTCAATGATCATCTATAACTCACTTGTCCACCATGTCAATGGATAGTACCATTCTAGGAAGGTCTAGATAAGGGAATTGTGGTTAACCTAGTCATTGAGAAAATCAAATAACTTCAAGGTAGATAATTCTATTGACAGATAATATATAGTACCCATACAGCTCCGAACACATGTTTTTTACACCCTTATACTATTAGAAAGCAATTAGAAAAGGTGTGATTTGAATCAACATTCAATCGGTCAAGAATCGGGTAAAACCCTTAAAGTCGAAAAGTGACCTTTGTAGGCCCTATAAGCCCCATTCTCACACACTCTAATTTTTCTAGCTATATTGATACTGAATAATCTCTCTCTTCTCTCTCCTATTGCAATCTTTTTACAAATCTAAGCTCTGCACTTTCCTAATTAATTTTCTCCTTTAGCACCCGAAAATAAATTAATTAATTTTTGGTTTTTCAATTAATTAATTATTTTAAATTAATTAATTTTTGTCTTCCCAAACTAATTCTTTTTGAATTTGATAGATGTTATTTTTATAGTATTTTTAATATAGTTTTTATTAGAAATTATAATTATAGTATTTTTAATATAGTTTTTATTAGAAATTTTAGTATTTTTAATTACTTTAATTAGTTTTTATTTAGTTTTATTTATGTTTTTGTTTAATTCTTCCCTGTATCTCATTTCACTTGATCTTGGAGAATTTTACAACATTTTTATAGAAAACCAGCCAAAAATACAGCAAAGAGTGTTCCTAGGTTCAGAAGCTAGCACGCCCTGGGCGTGTTGTCTAGCACCCCTGTGTTGTGTTGAATTGAACAGAGACTCAGAATCTAGCATGCCCGAGCTACAAGAGGTTGTCGAACTTTGAACGTGCTCTCTCCAGCATGGCCCGTGCTCTAACTACCTCGAAATCCCCAAGCCCTAGCATGCCCAAGTCGTGCCGGAGAGCACGCCCGTGCTACAAGAGGCTATCGATCCTTGAGTGTGCTCATCCAAGCACGGCCCATGCTACAAACACTTCAGGGACTTAGAACCTAGCACGCCCAGACCATGCCAGAGAGCACGCTCGTGCTGAAGGCCAGATTTTACCTTAGGCCGAGAACGTCAATTCTAGCCCGTGCCGCTTGCATAGACCCACATGAGATGCTTTTCTGATGTGCCAATCAAGTTTAAATCCTATCTAGACGTTGGAAGAGTCCTAATTAGGAAGAAATACAAAGCTTAAATAGTTTTCTATCTCAACAAGATTTCTTGCTCAATGGAGATCCACTTTCCTAAACGAACACGAAGATATTTTCAGAAAGTCTATATAAAGAGAGAGACTAGCCATGATTGAGGGTGATTTTCATATTCCATCTCTTTATTTTTCAGAAAGGTCTATAATAAAGAGAAGAGACCTCAGCCCAAATAAGATTGAGTGGTGAATTTTCATATTCCATCTCTTGTTTCTATTTAAACTTCCTACAATAGTTTTCTCTCTTCAAGACTTCAAGTGCTGAAGATTGGTGCAAGTTCAAAGAAGACCGTTTATAAGATTATCGTCCGACTAAGTTTTATTCAAAAACTCCTTTTATGTTTATTATTTCACTTCCTTTGATGGATTTAAATTTACAATTAATTTGATGTTATTTAGGATTACTGAATATGTCCTCGACCCCACACTCACACTCTCATAACTAGGGTATTTGATTGCATAGCTTAAATCTCCGCATTCTAATAATATAAATATTCAGATACTGTGCTTATTATCTTTGTTCCAACCACGTATAATTTGTTGATTGACTTAATGCTTCGCATGCAGACTCTCCTCTCCTGGATTGATTTATTTATTATTAATCACTAATCCCACGAAACAAACCACAAAGAAAGGCGGGGGTTTTTTTTTATTTTTGATATGAAAAAGGCTCAATAAATTACATGAGAATAAATATATCATAGAAATGCGGTAAAGCTATATGGTTTTCGACTCAACTCGGCATTTTCATAAAGTTAACAGACCTTAGGTTATGAATTCATACAAACCATCAAAACTTAATGATTTAATTCATGTTGATTGAGCTATTTGAAGATTCACCGGTAATTAGTACCCCTAAAGTTATAAATAGCTAAACAATCACCAGTCGGTGCGCGGAGAGAGAACAGCAAGACGCAGGAGAGCTTGTTAGTTCCGAAATTATAGGGTATTTCTTCTTAACTCTGGGAACAATTAAAATTGATCTAATCAAACTAAGATAAAATATAAATTGGATAGCACACCTTAAGTGAAATTCCTATTTAGGGTTATTTCTCCTACTTGAACAATTAAAATTGATTATCAAACTAATAAAATAAATTGGATAGAATTAAGTGAAATCAAAATCCCTAGTAGCTTCTAATCCTTGATTCCTTTTCATCGAATTGTCTTACTTGATTTCTTTTTATTTTCTTTTAGTTATTTAAATTTTTAAAATAATTCTCCTTATTGTCTAAATAATAATAAGTTAACACAATTTCGGTACTTAATATACAATCCTTGTGGGATGATACTCTTCTCATTCTTTATTACTTGTCGCGATTTTGTGCACTTACGAAAAAGCCTGTCAAATTTTTGGCGCCGTTGTCAGGGATTGGCGTTACCAATATCAATACTAATTACCTTATTATTAATTTAGACATTTATTTTTATTTTCACTTTTACCTTTTCTAGAAGAGTATTTTAGGTATTTATGCAAAGAAGATCCGGTAGAACTGAGCCTTTAGTCTTTGATCCAGAAATTGAAAAGGCTTCTCACAGAAACAATGCTACTAGGAGAGTACAAAGGAGAGAACAAGAGCAACAAGCAAATATGGCTGATGATTTAGACATAGAGAACGATCCTCTATCAGGGGATCATCAGATTTTACCACCACGGCCCAATCATAACAATAGAAGACCTCAACCTCCTGTCCGCACCTTGCGAGCCACACAACTTCTTCTCTGAATGGAGCCACCTCAAGTATCACTAGGCCTAGGGTGGAAGCTAATAATTTTGGGATCAAACCTGCAATTATTCAAATGCTTTCCACCTAAATTCAATATGGAGGTCTGCCCAGTGAAAATCCTAATGCCCATATCACATATTTCTTGGAGATTTGTGATACATTCAAGCAAAATGGAGTTTTTGAGGATGCCATAAAATTGAGACTGTTTTCTTTCACTCTAAGGATAAAGCACGGTCTTGGTTATAATCATGCCTTGCTGGAAGTTTTACTACATAGGAGGAACTAGCCCAAAAATTTTTGGTGAAATTCTTTCCATCTTCAAAGACCACAAAGCTTCGCAATGAGATAATGACTTTTGCCCACTAGGATCAAGAGAGTTTGTATGAAGCTTGGGGAACCACTAAAGCTTCGCAATGAGATAATGACTTTTGCCCACTATATGCGATCAAGAGATTCTTTCCATCTTCAAAGACCACAAAGCTTCGCAATGAGATAATGACTTTTGCCCACTAGGATCAAGAGAGTTTGTATGAAGCTTGGGAGAGATTTAAGGACCTATTGAGGAAATGCCCCACATCATAGCTTACCCAAGTGGTTACAGGTGCAAACATTCTATAATGCATTATCTCCTAATGTAAAGATTACTTTAGACGCAGCTGCTGGTGGATCTTTTGAAAGAAAGGAACTTGATGAGGCATATGATTTGATAGAAGAGATGGCAAGCAACAGCCATTATCAAAATAGTTCTGAAAGGAAGAAGCCTGCAGGAGTTTATGAGATTAATACCATTACCGCACTCAATGCCAAAGTGGACAATATGGTAAGGAAGTTCGATTTATTGACTATTAACTCTATTAATACTATTGTGCAAGCATGTAACAGGTGTAATGGACAACATGGAATTGGAGAGTGCATGTTGGATTCTTTAAATTTGCAAACTTTAGAGCAAGTCAACTATGTGATGAATCAAGGAAGAAAGAACTACCCATATTCTAACTCTTATGATACTTATGATAACAGGTTGAGGAATCATCCTAGTCTTTCTTATAGGAATCTAAACAATGCCTTGAATGCACCACCAGGTTTTCCTTCTCAAGAGAAGAAGACTCATGATGATCTTCTTACTGCTCTCTCTAAATCTCACATAGAGTTCATGAACGAAACTCGGGAAAATCACAAAATCCAACAAGCTGCGATAAGGAACTTGGAGATTCAACTAGCGCAATTTGCTAACATGATGGCTTCTAACCTTAAGGTATGTTACATAGTAACATTGAGAAAAATCGCAAAGAACAGGTACAAGCTATCACTTTGAGGAATGGCAAACAATTGAAGGGTCCACCCAGGAAGGAGGACGAAAAGAAGGAGCAAAAAAAGATCCCCATCATTGACCTTGATGTTTTCAAAAAGCTTCAAATAAACATCCCTTTTACTGAAGCCCTGGCTAAAATGCCTAGTTATGCAAAATTCTTAAAGGAGATCCTGAGCAAGAAAAGGAAGATCGATGATCAAGGAACGGTAATGTTAATAGAAGAGTGTAGTGCAACCATTCAAAATAAATTACCTCCAAAGATAAAAGATCCAGGAAGTTTTTCTATCCCTTGTAATATTGGAAATCTTGATTTTGAGAAAGCTTTAGCAGATTTAGGTGCAAGCGTTAATCTTATGTCTTATGAAGTTTTCAAAATGTTGGGGATGGCAGAGCTGAAACCAACAAGAATGTCTTTACAATTCGCGGATCGATCAATCAAATATCCAAGAGGAATTGTAGAAGATGTGCTCGTCAAGATAAGTAAATTTATTTTTCCTGTTGATTTTGTTATTCTTGACGATGAGGATAGAGAAGGATCCCTAATTCTTGGAAGACCTTTCCTTGCAACTGCAAGAGCATTGATTGATGTCTATGAGGGTAAGTTAACCTTAAAGGCAGTCAAGAGGAAGTTGATTTTTATGTTCTTAAATCTTGCAAGCTTCCTATGGATTATAATGATTGCTTTAGAATTGATGTTATTGATGATTGTGTAAAAGACACCTTAAATGTTAAAAATAAAGTGACCATTGATAAAGGTGACATTAATGATCAAAGCATCAAAGGTGAGGAAGTAAGTGAACCACCAAAGCAAGAATTAAAATGTTAAAAATAAAGTGACCATTGATAAAGGTGACATTAATGATCAAAGCATCAAAGGTGAGGAAGTAAGTGAACCACCAAAGCAAGAATTAAAACAACGTCATCTCATTTAAAATATGCATTCTTAGGTGAGAATAATTCATTTTCTATTAAGCACATCATTATGCGAAATCTGAAGGTCGGCCAACAGTTATTACCCTATAACTCTAGGCTTTGTCTTTTTCCAGGAAAATTGCGCTCTAGGTGGTCTGGACCATTCATAATCAAAGAAATTTTTCCACATAGAGCGGTTGAAATAATGAATGGAGAACGGAGCTTCAAAGTCAGTGCGCATCGATTGAAAGTTTACTAAGATGGACGTTTTGATCCAGTCAAAACCACTATAAGTCTTACCTAAATTGGGTCTAGTCCTCGAGCTTAACGACGTTAACCAAAAGCACTTATGGGAGACAACCCATGTTCTTTCCTTTAAATTCTCTCATTTTGTTTTATTTTGTTACTTCTTTTTTATTATTCTCCCAAATTTTTAATCATTCTTGTCTTGTATTATTAGCCCAAATATTTTCAGGTGAAACTAAGATTCAGGCTCTAACACGCCATGGCCGTGCTAACTAAAGGGAGACGTCTTTCCAAGTCAGAGGCTAGCACGCCCCAGCCGTGCACCTCAGCACGCCCGTGCCAGGTAACCAAATTTTGTCTCGCAGGTTCAGAGGCTAGCACGCCTAGACCATGCCCCCAACAACACGCCCGTGCCATAGGGAACTGTCGATCTCTGGACGTGCTCACCTCAGCACGCCCATGATGCCACCACCTTGCAAGGTCTAGAGCCCAGCATGCCCAGGCTGTGTTCAACAGCATGCCCATGCCATGCTGCAAAATTACTTTTTGAAACGATGTGTTATGACTTTTCGGTTACCGCGAAAACCCTAACTCCTTTTCTTTTTAAATACCATGCCCTCACGTCTCTTCACCCTCAACTCTCTTTCATTTTCTCTCTACCAAAACCTTAGCAAACTTCTCATTTTCCTCTCTTTCTTTGATTTTCACCATGCCTCGATGATACAAGAGAAGTAGATCTGCCACTTTAGTGGCAGCAAGAGTCTGACCCGCGGCTCCTCCATCACCACCTCCTCCCACGGCTCCTGTTCCACCATTCGAAATCAGCCTGCGCAAACAACAAGAAAGGTACACTAAACTCTTTCTCCGGCCTATTTTGGCCAATCGCTTCATTGATGAAAATGCTTTAGGAAAAATAGGACTTAGAGATGCTATATTAGAACCTCTTAAGCAAATTAGGTGGGAGAAATTTATTGCTATGAAGGATTTTGTGTATGCACTACGGATTTTGTGTATGCACTAATGACCTTAGAATTTTTAAGTTCTTATTCTGTTGTTATTTTTGTATTGCCTGATGAATATCCAAGTAAGATTAAGTTCAGACTTTTTGGTAGAAATTACGAACTATCGGTGGATGAGGTTAGCAATATATTTGGTTTTCCCACTGAGAATGCTCTTAAGCAAATACCCAAAGATTTTAATGATCATGGAACATGGACAAGACTGACTAGGGAAATTGGGTACAATCCTAGATTATCGAAAGCCTCAAACTTAAGAAACCCAGTATATAGTTATATTCACAAATTTTTATCTAACACGATTTTTGGACATAGTGAGAGTGATGAGGTGTTAAGCCTGAATGAATTATACTTTATTTGGGCAATTGGACCAGGGAATACTTCTTAATGTTGGTTTTTGGTTATGCCAACGATGGTCTAGAATTGCAAGGGAAGAAAAAGGAGCTATTATGATGGGATGCTTTGTGACCCGTATTGCTTCTTATTTGAGAGAGTGGAACCTTGTTCAAGCGGTATATGAAATTGTGGAAGTGGAAAGAGTACTAGACTTGACATAGATGTCATGGTGCATATGAGGTTAGTAAAGAAGGCAGGGGATGCGTTCCATATTGTGGGATCCTAAGAAACAAGACCTGATGTTGAGGAAACTGAAGAGGCTGGTGATACTAATATGGAGGAGGATATTCCACATACCTTCCTCGGTTTGGTACTTTTTTTGGTGCAAGTACATTTGGAGCTGGTCCTTTTTTATAGGAAGCGTCCGATTTGTCTAACGAAGAGGTTCTCACACGTATGTTGTCTAGAATGGACATGTTTGATGCTCGCTTTCAAGGAATGGAGACCATGATTTCTGACTGGTTCCAATCCATAGAAATTATGCAAGAGAGCCTCGACTCTCGAATAAATACCATACAAAGCCAATATCAGGGAATCGCCAGTCAGCTCCAAACTGTGATACATTATGCTGTAGCCGTATCCACCTCCACCACCTGAGGAATGATTGTTTTTCATTGTTTTTTGCTTTGTTTTTAGTTGATTGGTTTGTACTTCTTTTATTTCTTCATTTTTATTCAGACCATTTTCTTATTCGTATTAAGTATTTCGCATATAATGTGTTTTGTTTTTAGTGATTTTTTTTCGTAACTTTAAGAATTCCCAGCGCCCGGCTCTTATTGTATCTTTTCTTTCATTTTTATTGTATTTTTCAATACAATGGTGGTAATGGTTTCTCAGCTCTCATATTCTTTTGCCACATTCTTGGTAATGTGATAAGTTTGGGGAATTGATTTTACACACTTTGGGGACAATGTGCTAAATTAAGTTGGGGGAAGGAAAATTTTAGTGTTATTTGTTGCATTAGTTTAATATGGTTGGAATAATTTTGAGCAAGCTTGAAAATTATCATAATTTACTAACTTGTGATAAATTTAGTTGTTTTTCTAGTCTAGTATGTTTCAGCTTTAATTTAAATTTTTGACTTAACATGATTCTTTGATTTAACCATTTATTTTTAAGATCATAAACACTAATTTTTGTGAATTTTATGGTACGTAGGTATTTTTTTAATCAAAATTTTTTTAACCTTGGCATTCCTAAAACAAATCAGAATTCCCTTTGAGGTAAAATTTTAAATGCTCACATTTAGAAAGAGATGATTTAGGTATTCTTTGTTGAACTTCATATTTAGCCTAGGCCACCTAAGATTTTAAATGCTCACATTTAGAAAGAAGATGATTTAGGCTATTCTTTGTTGAATTTCATAAATTTAAAGCCTAGGCACCTAAAGTTAAATTATGATCTTTGCAACCAATTTGGAAGCTTATAACTTTAAAATTTTTCCTCGGTTTACCCTTTTAAGCTTAGCCATTAAACCAAAATTTAAATTCTTACCCTAAGTGCAATAATGTATAATTGAAGGATTTGATTTTATTAAAACATAGCAATAAAAGGGAAGAAAACTTTTAATACTAGCAAGTTGAGCAATTAGAAAACTCAAAGAGAAACACCCCATAAAAGAAGCAATCAATCAAGAATTCAAGTTTGGAAAATTGAAGCAAGGAAGAAATTGTCAAAGTATTATGAAGAGACCTTGCCAAAGTAGCTCTAATTTTGAGCTAGTGAAGAACTTCAACTTAATCTCCCTTTACAAATAAAAATTTACTTTAATGTAATGAAAATCTTGAGATTATGCATTCTTTGTACTCTTTGTGTATCCTTTTATCATTTCCCTTGTTTAGCTAAATTATGCCCCTAAAACCCATTATAACCTTAATAAAGACCTTTTGATCTTTTTAATTGTGTGCATTTTGATTGTGGAGAAGGGATGACTAATTTTGCCTATGGGTCACACATGCCCCCTACAAACCCCCCATTATAACCTCTACATAAAGCACATGTTATGATCCTCTCTCTTAAATCTGGTGTGCATTTCTCGACTTCGCTGGAGCACCACGCGGAGCCACCTAATCCTCCTCTGCCCTCCATGCCCGCGAATGCTTCACACCCTCTTCCACACAACTCCTTATTAAACATCTTAGTTCGAAGCACAGTTAATAAATTCTTTGTGAAATTCATATTCTATTTTGTCTACTTGAATAATTATGGATGGTTGAAAAATCTTATTAACATTGCTGTTTAAATTAAGGAAAGTGTTTGTTTGAGAATTGAATTTTTCTGCTACGAATATAATTAGCCATACGGAAATCCACCTCTTGATTCTTTCTCATCGTCTAATATTTCTCCTGGATATTTTTTGAAATTGGAGAATATTTATCTGCTAATCATTTAAGCCCCTAGCTTTGTTAGTTTGTTTAGCTTGCTGTTTTTCATTTATTAGTTGTCGTCGCCTTGAGGATAAGCAATGATTGCAGTACTTGGAGAATTTTTGATAGATTTATTTTTATAAGTATTTAATCATAGTTTTTTCTTAGGAATTTTAAGTATTTTTTTTTATTACTTTAGATTAGTTTTATATTTAGTTTTTTAATTTATGTTTTCATTTAAACGCTTCTCTTGAATTACATTTTCAACTTGGGATTAGGGATTGAGCATTTCTTATAGAAAACCAGCCAAAAATACAGCAAAGAGTGTTCCTAGGTTCAAAAGCTCGCACGCCCTGGGCATGTTATCTAGCACCCTCGTGCTGTGTTGAATTGAACAGAGACTCAGAATTTAGCATGCCCAAACCGTGCCAGAGAGCACGCCCATGCTACAAGAGGCTGTCGAACTTTGAGTGTGCTTATTCCAGCACGGCCCGTGTTGCAACTACCTTGAAATCCCCAGGCCCTAGCACGCCCAAGCCCCGTGCTACAAGAGGCTGTCGATCCTTGAGCATGCTCATCTAAGCACGGCCCGTGCTGCAAACATCTCAGGGACTCATAACCTAGCATGCCCAGACCATGCCAGAGACACATCCATGCTAAAGACCAGATCTTAACTTGGGCCGAGAACGTCAGTTCTAGCCCATGCCGCTTGCATGGACCCGCATGAGATGCTTTTCTGACGTGCCAATCAAGTTTAAATCCTATCTAGACGCTGGAAGAGTCCAAATTGGGAAGAAATACAAAGCCTAAACAGTTTTCTACAGTTTTCTATCTCAACAAGATTCTACTCATGAAAGATCCACTTTCCTAATGAAAGCAGATATTTTCACTGAAAGTCTTCATAAGAGAGGACTAGCCATGATTGAGGGTATTTTCATATTCCATCTCATGTTCTACATTAAATCTACATAGTTTTTCTCTCTTCAAGACTTTCAACGTGCTGAGATCTGTGTCAGATCAAGGAAGTCGTTATTAAGCTTATTCGTTCAACTAGTTTTCAAATTATAACTCTTTTTTGTTTGTTTATTATCTCGTTTATCGGGATTATTTACAAATTTAATTGAGTTTATATTTAATATAATAGCATTCGAACTCAAACCTCATACTAGGGATTTGAATGTAGCTTAATAGGGATTTGATGTAGCTTAATTTCGATTCCAATTTATAATATTAGATTTGCTTTTCTTTGTTCAAAGTATAATTTATTATTCAACTTAATGCTTCCATGCAGAATTTCTCTCCCGGATTGATTTATTTCATTAATCACTATCGGAAGAAGGGTTTTTGATACGAAAAAGGTAATAAATTACATGAGAATAATAACTTTATGCAGAAGCTATATGATTTGACTCATGGAGATTTTCATAAGTTAACGACTTTAGGTTATGAATTCATAAACAAACCATGAAACTTAATGATTTAATTCATGTTGATTGCGCTATTGGAAGATAGGTAATTTGATCGGATTAAAATAGCTAACAATATATCAGGAGAGCTTGTTAGTTATTTTAGGATTGTTTCTCCTACTTGAACAATAAAAATTGATTATCAAACTAATAAAATAAATTGGATAGAATTAAGTGAAATCAAAATCCCTAGTAGTTTCATCGAATTGTCTTGCTTGATTTCTTTTTATTTTCTTTTACTTATTTAAATTTTAAAATAATTCTCCTTATTGTCTAAATAATAATAAGTTAACATAATTTCGATACTTGGTATACAATCATTGTGGGACAATACTCTACTCATTCTTTATTATTTGTCGAAATTTCGTGCATTTGCAAAAAAGCCTGTCAGAATTAATTTAGGCCCTGAAGACGAAATTGAGATCCATATTCATTATTGGAACAGTTCCCAAATACATGGATCCACAAAGCTAAGATATGTTTCTATAAGACCTAACCTTTTGTTTGGAAAGAGGTGAATTTATGAGAGAAAGAAAAGATGGGTGGAAAATAAGGAATCAAGCATGCTTTCCCTTGTTTGGGAGATGATGGAACATGTGGAAGGAAGGAAATTTAAAGCTAATCTCTTTCCACTTACACTGCAAAATGGAGAGAAAATGAGAGAGAATGTGAGGAAAATAACCTGCACCAATTAATTCTGTAATCCGTACTGCCATCATGTCATGTTATCTAGAAAAATCAACTTTAAGTGATTTAATAATAATTTATTTAAAAAGTTATAATGTTTATAAGTTACAAAGAACTTGCTTAATTTTTACCAATCAAAAGAAAGAATTTGCTGAATTGCATATTATTTCTTGGATAAATATGAAAGAGAAAAGTCATATTATATGTACCGTACACATGCAATGACATTTATAAATTATAATGTGTTGCTTTTGTAATATATGATTTGCTTTTTTTATTTAGGCTATTTTCTATGTCAGCAAATTTAAATAAGTTCATCAAAGAAACATCTCGTGAATTTTGTTTAAATTGGTGTTTATTATTTTTTTTTTCCATTTATTTGTAAGTAACATATGATATGCATGCATATTTGAAATGGTAATAGTTTTATTTTTCATTCATTAATTCATTAAAATTAACAAAGTAATTAGCCAATTATAACTTAATTACAAGATGTGCAATTATCTCTAATTTATACATATATAAAGAGTAAAAATATAAATTTATAATAACATTATTTTCTTTCCTCTGATCTTTTCAAATAAAGGAAAATAATTTTATTTTCCTTCTATTTGAGAAAAAATGAATAGTGCAATCATTTTTTTATTTTCCTCTCTTATTCTCATTCCTCTTTTATTTTCTTTCCTCTCCTTCCCAAACATATTGTAATTCTCTTTTCTTCTACTCCTTTGCAAATCTGGCTTGTGAAAACATGAAAAATTAAGTCAATTCAGCTCATAGAATTGCATGATTCTGATTTTCGATCTATATGTGGACTAAATATAATAGAAAATTCTTAAAATAATTTAGTTATATCTCGGGGATAAAATAGTAATTTTCTAAAATAAATTTAATATTAATAATAAACTTGTCATAGTTATTTTATAAATGTATTATAATAATTTTTTTTTTTTGAAAGGAAAAATGTATTATAATTATTAAAGTCTTAAGATTATATTTGTTAAATAAATAAATTTAAGACTTAATTCAAAGTAATTAATTAAAAATAATAATAATTGCTGGAACTCGGAACCTTCAAGCGACCTAAAGCCGAACCGAACTGAACCAGAAACAACACCAGCTAAAAGCCAAAAGAAAAGAACCAGACCGCACAAAACCCACCCCTCTATCCTTCATCGCGATCAGTGATTCTCCACCGCTCCATCCATGATTTCAAGTTGCCATAGACCGCGATCTGTCGAATTTGGAGCGTTTTGCCTGTAACGTTGCAAAACTTAGATTTTCGGGTCACCACGGGCGTTGATTCTGCTGGCCGTCGATGGCAGTTTCCGGCACGTGGATGCCAGATATTCATAACGACACAGTTTTCATATAGATTATGAATTGCGATTGACAACCACTAATCCACTTTTATGTCATTTTATAAATAATTTATTGCAATAATCGATAAGCATAATTAGGGATAATTCTTTTCAAAAAAAAAAAATCTAGGGATAATGACATCCACGTCAATGATAGTTTCATAGCAAAGCTAATACATTGTTTTTTTTTTTTTTTTTTTTTTTTTTTTTTTTTTTTTTGTTTTTTTTTTTTTTTTTTTTTTTTTTTTTTTTTTTGATGAGTTTGTCCAGTAATCCTTGTCGTGGACTTGGATCGAATCCATTCGTTGAAGCCCAACTCGTTACAATTTCCAAACAACAAGATATCTGTATCATCGCTTTTGACATTACGTGCAAGGAATTCTCCAAGTGGATATATATAAAGCTGGTATTGAAACTCTCTCTGACGACCACAAAAAAGTTTAGTGCAATGGAGACTCAGAGCACCGCCTCCGCCTCCGCCCAAGAACCACCCAGGTTTTGCTGTCACTTTAAATTTTCTTTTTTTTTTTTTTTTTTTTTTTTTTTTTTTTTTTTTTTTTTTTTGCAGTAATTGAAGTCATCTACTTAATTTATTTTTTTTTTTTTTTTTTTTTTTTTTTTTTTGAGTATTGAAGTCATTACCTTAATTAGTTTATCATTTCTACTTTAATTTTGTTATTTTAAATATGTTACAAGTTAGATCTCAAACACTTTTGATATGGAAATATTGTTATTAGTATATAATATATGTTATAAACGCTCGAAATTGATTTTTTTTTTTTTAATTATTTGCTTACTGGTTTCTCAGTTATCAGTTTATGAAATATATTTAATTTGATAAAATTAAATTTTATTTATATTAAATTTGACAAGTGTAGGTTTGTGAATAATATTCATAAAAGATTATATCCAATAAAATGCCAAAAAAAATATTTTATCGTATATATATATATATACATGAAGATGGTTGAAACTATGACAGACAATTTCTTCTATATATTTAAGTAGGAGTGTAATTGGTGGAGCCAACAGTATCGGGAGCAAAGCAATTTGCAGTTGCGGCGAAGGGTATACATGTGTGATCACTAGGACCCAAGGACCTGATGCCGGGAAGACCTACAATTGCACCGGAGACTGCGTTTGTGTTCTGTACGCAAACAATCTTTATTATCTTCCAAATTGTTTATGAATTAAAAGTTAATTATTATGAATAAATTTAATATAATTTTTAAAATCAAATATGAATCTGGTAAATTTTTCATTAATCATAAGTAAAAACATTTAATCAAGGACAAAAAAAACTAAATAATTAATGTTTTAAATAATTTTGTGGAATTCATTTCATTATAAAAATTTCATTTGTAAATATGTTTTTAATGTTTGACCACTATACAATTTATTTTGGGTTAAATCATTAAAAAAAAAAAACTCAAAACTTTTTGGGTAGTTTTAATTCTACCCTAAATTTAGCTTTATTCTCTTAGTACTCTAAACTTCAATTTTAGTTACAATAACATCCTAATTTGAAATTGCATCCGATATTAAAATTAAAATAATATTTTAATTTAATGAATTAAATATTATTTTCAAATTGTAACTAATATTAAAATAAAAATAAATATATTTATCTTAAAAATAAAATAATTTTTATTTATTAATATAATAATGACAACAAATAATGATTCATAAAAGTAAAATTATACCGTAATGAATAAATCTTATTTTTATAAGAGATCTAATTTAAGTATAATTTCAATAAACTCTAACTAAAATTCCATGCTTAAAAATAACAAAACAAAAATCTAAACTAATATTTTATGCTTATTACTAACTAAAATTTATTATTTTATTTGGCATTTTATGAATTTTTAAAAAAAATTCTAACCAATATTAGTGATCGTGTTGTTAAACCCATAGGTCGTATGAAAATAATATTTTATTGATTAAATTAGGTACAATTTGAAATTAAGGTGATATTGTAATTAAAATTAAAGTTTAGGGTACTAGGTGACGAATTTGGATTTATAGTATAATTAAAACTACTCACAATATTTGTGGGTTTTGTTTAATGATTTAGCCTTCATTTTGAATATGTAACTTTATTAATTAATTTTATACATAGAATTAATTGGTTTTAATAATTTATAGTCTTAATATATTTTGCAGAGGCGAGAATGCGGATGGAGACTCAAAGGAGAAGCTAGAAAGACTTAAAGCGACCGGTGGTGCATATTGTGAGTGTGGTGAAGGATGGAGCTGTGTGATAACGAAGGTTGGATCTGGTGCAGGTAAGCCAGCCTTTGAATGTGCTGGAGATTGCACGTGCGTTACTACGGCTTAAGCTGTTATAGGAGTACGCTTGTTGATTGTATTAAATGAATAAATGGCTACTATATAAGCTCTCTTAATACATTTTGGTTTGTATTTTTGGCAATAGTTGAACTTTTTGTATTGTAAGTGAAGTCTACTGTTAAGTTTGTGTGTACTTCTCTTTTCATGTCTGATAGGATTTTTTATATTTATGGACTTACTCAGAATTGGACTACGATCAGTAGAAAGTTAGAATTAACCTACTAATAGTTGTCTTTTACCATTATAAGCCATTGTAAATATTGTAAAATCTGGTTAAGTTGTATCCATTAAAAATCAAACTAAAAATTAAAAGTTTCTAAACTTACTGCTATAGAATAAAAGCGAAAATAAAAGTTTAACTAAAAGGATAAAGAAATATGGGTTGCTTTCCATTAATACTTTGTTTGAAGTCCTTAAATTTAACTTTTGAAGAAGTATTCATCAAATAACGCCTGTCACATATAGTAGCTATCATGTAACGTCACACATAAGTTTTGGTTAAAAATAACCTCAAGATTTGCTAGTTTTAGAGAAAGTCTCATCAATAACATGGCTTCAAATGATGAATTTAGGGAATGAACTGTTTTATGTCATGAAGAAAATAATATGTTGAAGGTGGTGTAATTGGAAAGAAAGGATCTTCCGGTAATATATGTATAAGTACTATTGATGAACTCAAGTCAGTAGCCTCAACTATTTTCTCATCCACCAGTACTATTGATGAGCTCATCTATTTTAAGTAATGAAGAAAATAATATACAAGTATCTATTGATGAGCTTCAATCTATTTTAAAGTAATGAAGAAAATAATATATATATATTATATAATATATATATTAGTATTATATTTATCAAGTAACTAGTGATATATATTTATAAGTACTAGTGTTTTTTATTTGTCTTCATTTAAAATCTCTCCTACTAGTCCTTCCAATTGTACTTTTTTTTTTTTTTATGGTCTTCAATATTTATGTTAGGAAGCAAGAAAGTTTGATTTACCCTATATTCAAAGAAGTTGTGTTTTTCATATGTAGACTTTACTTCTTCTAAATGTGAACTTCCCTTAAAACTTCCTCACAATCCAGCTTGCATTCCCCATCTTAATCATGTAAATCAAAAAGAACATATTATTGTTAATCATAGAGTTATCAAAACCTTCTTCAAATTTTCCTTGGTAGTCTAAATTTAGTAATTTAACTATTATTTCTTTATGATTCAACTTCTTCTCTTCTTGACACTCCATGGATCTCTAACAATAGGTTGGAAAATATATAGAGAGCATTTGTGATTCCAACCTTATAGTAAAAGATATCAATTTCAATGATAGTTAAAATTTGCCATACCATTTAATAGGTACATTGCATATTCACGACTTTTTATGTAGAAGATGAATTCAGTCAAAGGCAATTCTTAGTGAAAAAATTCTCTTGATTGATCATTAATTCTAAGATAACTCAATAATTGCAAGCAATAGAAAAGTTATAATATTTGAACAAGCGTTGTAGATCAATCTTTTCGTATTATTAGATTAAGTAAGACAAGCGCTATGAATAATCCCTAACTAGAAAACAACCAGACAAGCGCTATGAATAATCCCTAACTAGAAAACAACCCTAAGCAAGCGATAGAATTTAATTTTCTAATAGCAATAAGGACTAGAAAGACCTTGTTCTAATTAACAAACTCTACAAGCGAGGTTCATTTAAATTAGATTGTGAATTTTTCATAATATAATCCAAAAGTCTGGTTACAATCAGATTATATTATTTGCTACTTGAATTAACTCAACTAAATAATTACGGAGTTAATCTTGTTGATTAGCTATATGGTATCTTATTAAATTGAACAACGGGCCATATTAAACAAACAATAAGATAACAATAGAGATGAAGTTTCTTCATATATGCAAAAAAATAGATAAATATTGATGGATTAAAGAATAAAATAAATACGTTAAGATCTCACAATCATAGAAGAACCTTTACTTCGAATTCAACCTTTGTTGAAAATAAAAAGTTTAGCCACGCATGGCTATAGAGAAAATAAAGAGAACAAAAGAAGAACCTAAGGAACGACTGCTGTTGAAAAGATTAAAAAAGTTCCCCCTATAATAGACTTAAGGGTCTATATATAGGAGAGGGAAAAATCCTAAACTAGAAAAATAATCTAAAATTAATTATAAACTAAAGTATTTAAAATCCAAGTATCTTCCTAATTCCCTAATTGGTGCTCCAGTTGCTTTAACTGATTTTTTGGAGTAAGCTCGAAGTAACTCTAGGTGGCAAACACCTTAATCCCCACCAGCCCTGGATGCGCCTATGTTAGCCTTGCCTAAGCTTAATTTGTCAACTTCTTGGAGCTTTTTGGCAGCTTCTTGAAATTCAGCTCCAACTTAGCATATTTCTCCAAAACTTCAAGAATTGGAAACCACATGCTCCACCGCTTGTGCAGGCCCCCGTCAATTCCTTTGAGTTTCGGTCTTGTTAAACACATATGGACGATTAATAATTTTCCATCGGCTTTTCTAACCACTTTTATTTAGAAAGTAGGCTTTTTAAAGTCAATTCCTAATTGCAACTACTAAATTGTTTATTAAAAACAACCGGGGATTAGTGGGTGCAAAATCCCCAATGAAGTCGTCAAACTGTTTTTCCCCCCAAAGAAAACACGAAAAAGAGTGTCGGTTTTATTATTATTTTTTAAAAAAAGTGATAAAAAAATATTTTTGGATACGCGATGTCGATAAATCGGTCTTATAAATTGTTTTAGTCGCCACCCATTATTTTTCGGCATGGGACCGTTTCCATTTTAATTTTATAAAGGTTGACTTCATTTTAAACCCAATTTTATTTAAGGCGAATTGTTTAGAGAAACTGGCAGGCGTACAAGTAATTCTAGGTAAGGGAATTGGGTACGTCGGCCCGTTGGAAGCCAACGCCCGAAAATCGGCCTCTTTTAACCTACAATTTCTAATTGATTTTTACTTTAGAAAAGCCCAATTATTTAATTAAATCCAACCCGATAAAAATCGAACCGAGTCCCTATGTGGAAAATTAATTAACCATCCCAACTAGGTTCATTCATTGCATTCATCGTAAATCATCATTGCATTCATCATCCATCCATAGCAAATATAATTAAAAAGACCCGCTCTTGCTTTATGGTTAAAGGCGGGCCACAAACCAGGTTTAATAATGTAATTAAACAATAAATAATAAATCCTAAAATCTTATAATCCATAAACCCAAAATCATGCATATTATCTTATGGTAACACTAGAAGTGCAAACAGTGAATAGTGGCACAGTGAATAGTTGACCGCAACTGCCACAGTCGCGTGACGCAACATGTACAGTCGCGTGATGGCAACTGTTTCTTGGAATGAACAGTCGCGTTGATCAACTGTTTTCTTGGATGAACAGTCGCGTCGACGCAACTGTTCTTCGCAGGAACAGTTGCGTGATGCACTGTCCTAGCGCCAGAATTCATTTTAAATGTTTGATTTACATTATTTCTTACTTTAATACGATTAAAGACATATAGCATGGCGCAAATACTGAAACAGAACATAATTTAACCGAACTTAGATTACTAAAACCACAAAAATATTACTAAAATCACAATAATATAAAAAAAATACAAAGAATCGTTAAGGAAATTACTATCTAGATTGTGCTTGCAGATGGATCAAATTTTCTTCTTAACAAATGATAGCTAGATTTCCAGAAGCCTAAGGATTTAATTGTGGTTTCTTTATAGTGTGTTTTTTAGGGTTTCAAAATCGTGTTCTTCCTCTTTTTTTTGTTCTGTTCTGTGTTTTTTTTCTGTCTTTTTTTTCTTCTGTTCTTGTTCTCCTCTCAAAATTGTGAGAAAGAGATGTATTTATAGGGTAGGTCAGGACACAGCTGCGTCACACTACTGTAGCTGCGTCACGCAGCTCATTTTCACAGTCGCGTGACGCGACTGGTAGTGGGGTGATGCGACTAGCAGTCGCGTGACGCGACTTTTTTTTAAATTATTTTTCTTTATTTATTTGTTTATTATTATTATTTTTTGTTTAAATCCTTGGATTAAAAGACTTCTAAATGGCATTGACCCATTCATCTTCGTATCATCATTGGATCAGGCGGGGCATAAAAAATACGCGTCAACATACTTAAATCCAAATACTATTAGATAAAAATAAATTAAAAAAAAGTTACTTTAAATATATTAACAAATTAATATTTAACTTAATAGAATAAATAAAAATATTTTGCATGAACGATTACATATGTATCAAGCTTAAAATAATGAGTCTTTGTCAACGATTAATAACTAATTTTATCAAGCCTAAAACAATGTTTTTAGCTCTTGTTTTCTTGCTAATTTTATGCATGCATTAAAATAATAATGGTTTTTCAGCACGGGTAGAAGTAGAAATTAAAATTTGAGTGGGCAAAATATATTTTTCAAAATTTTGAGTGGCGAAATGGATTATTTGACTAAAGAATTTTTCATTAAGGAATATTTACTAAATATCATATGTATAGATCTAGATTTGAATTCTTCTTTCCGGTATTCAAAAAAAAAAAAAAAAAAAAAAAGGCTTCCAAAGCTTCAGTTTGATCGGCTTGTCGATCCCACCTCCTCAGCTCAGTTGATCGGCTTTAGAGGATTTGAATAGAGATTGTTCTTGCATCAGCTTCGCAAACACCATCACTATCCAGGAAAGGTCCAGAGCAGCTTCGTAATTGTGAACATCCTACTGAGTCGAGTCTTAGCATAGAGTTGAGTAGTCGAGTTGAGTCCGCAGTTGGGAAGCCAAACCCGGTTGGGGTAGAATGGGTTATTAAGTGGACGTTACTTGGTGAGAGAAAGATTTAAAGCAGTGTGGTGGGATTGAGTTT